CCAGTGAAATATATTTATGTTTGTGGTTGTAATGTGACAAAATATGGAAAAGTTCAAGGGGTATGAATACTTTTGCAAACCACTGTATTTTCAAACCAATGCATTCAGTTTCACGTTATTCACATTCAGATTCAATCTGAGCAATTCAAATCCAGTTCCTGCTGGCACAAGATTTATCTCATAGAAACAACCTGATTTTACCTAAAAATCTTACGTTTTAAGTGAAAACAAGGTTAGTCACAGTGGTGACCAGTCCAGCTCCTGGAGGACCATCCTGCATGTTTTCCACTTCAGCAGGTCTTAAAGGTCTGCAGAAGCCCATCAATCCCTCGTTCAGGTGTGCTGGAGCAGAGCGACGTCTCAGTGCAGGGTGGTGTCCTTTGAGGACCAGGACCGGTCCCCACAGATGGATGCAGCCTGTTAACACGTTAATGTTGGTGTGTCTGGCAGCAGTGGCAGGTTTGGAGCCTGCTTCCTGCCTGCTCTCTGTAAACAGAGTGACCTGCAGGTCTACGCTGCCCGATCTGGACTCAAACTGTGGAGGTCGGATGTCAGAGGTCAGGTGGAGGACACCCGACTGCTCAAATCGCTCTTCAACACGCAGGTATGAACATCGCTCATTCAGCTTCAGCTGAGGTTTGATGTGGTAGTAGCTGAGACTTATCTTCCCCTGCCTTCGATCCTGTCTGACAGATACCTCAGTTTGAGTTGTTCACTCGACCCGATCCGGCTGGAGCATATCGCCCGGTTGACCGACAGCTCGGTCTGCTCAGCTGTTTTCTCAAAGAGGGTTGGATTMTCAGCTGGAATGAGTACTGCATCTATGTGTTTGACTGTCTGAACCAGGTAAAACTGACCACACATCACCTTTAGCTGCTAATAGCTAGTATAGTGCTAACAGTGAGTAGTAATACTGAGCACTTRGCACAATGCTAACAGAAAGTCTTGTAACATAAACTCAATGCTAATAGCATGTCTTGTAGCATTAGCTTGTTTTTAACAGCATGTCATATAGCATTAGCTGGATGCTAACAGCATGTCGTGTAGCATTAGCTCAATGCTAACAGTGTGTTGTGTCATGTGGCATTAGCTTTATGCTAACAGAATGTCATGTAGCATTAGCTGGATGCTAACAGCATATCATGTAGCATTAGCTGGATGCTAACAGCGAATCATGTAGCGTTAGCTGGATGCTAACAGCAAGTCATGTAGCATTAGCTGCATGCTAACAGCGTGTCATGTAGCATTAGCTCGATGCTAATAGAATTCTAACAGCATGTCATGTAGCATTAGCTGGATGCTAACAGCGTGTCATGTAGCATTAGCTGGATGCTAACAGCATGTCATGTAGCATTAGCTCGATGCTAATATAATTCTAACAGCATGTCATGTAGTATTAGCTGGATGCTAACAGCATGTCATGTAGCGTTAGCTCGATGCTAATATAATTCTAACAGCATGTCATGTAGCATTAGCTGGATGCTAACAGCGTGTCATGTCTTCAGGTAACTTGCTGTGGAAGAGCATGATGGTGTTTTCCTGTGTCAAAGTAACCGTTGGAGGAAAACATC